CGCCGGGGACGGTGACCGCAGCCTGGTGGCACAAGGGGCACGACGGGGCCGGTGGAAGAAAACACCGCGTCTCCCCGGTGCACGGCCTGCTTCCCGTAGGCCGCCTCCTTTCCCCGCCTGCGGGGCGGTGCGGGTCCCCGGGGATGCTGGCCGGCCGCTTACATAAACGCGCGTTGGGGGATAATGTGCAAAACACGGCAAGTCTGAGCTTGCAAACAATAATTCTGGGTACAGAATGCGTTGGTGGTCATGTTGTACCCACCCACGCACCCGTGTAGCTATTTGCGTGCATGCCCCTAACACACGGGTCAGTGCCAGCAGCGCAGAGGTCCCCAGGCAGGGCCCCTGCAATACGGCTGGCGGCATCAGCTCGGTGTCAGTCCGGGGCAGAGCAGGGTGCGCAGTGTCCGGCGTGTGTGCTTTTGGGCAGGACGTGTGTGCAGCGGTGCACGTCCCAGAGATTCCCGTCCCCGACCCGCTGGCTGGTGCGGCTTGTGCAGCGCTGGCTTTCGGTGGAGCGACTTCTGGTGTTCAAGGCTGCTTGGGCTCTGGCTTGTCCGCTGGTGCCGCCTGTGTATGTGAGCAGTAAAAGAATGAAGATGTCCGGTCTGGTAGGGAAAAACTATTACCCGCTCTGCGGTTTTTGGCCAGCGTGTATGCGTAAGCGTGTAGCATAGTGCTCTCTGCATAATGCACTCGCTTCACCCGGCGGCCTCTGAGGATGGGCACTCACAGCGTGCTCTTGCAGTGTCATGCTTTGGTTAAAACAGTCCAGTGCATAAAGATGAGAGCAACAGGTTGGGTTTTTTTTTTGGTTTTTTTTTTTTTTTTTTTGCATGAATCGGTTCCCAAATATGCTTCATTGCTGAGAGTTACAAGAAACTGGAAAGCAGTGACAAAAGAGGTGAGGACCCAAATCTGCTTAGGTCAGTAAGATTTTTGTCACTGACTGTTGTGAGCACAGGGTCCAGGCACCTGTGAATTAATGTTTGTGTACTAGTTGTTGTAAACTCATTAGAAACAAATGCAAGGACATGGCATAAGTAGTGTGAGAAGGTAATTTTGCTCTCTTGCTGTGCTGGGATGCAGAAGATGCTTTGAGTTGTGCTCCTGTCTCTGCCTTTTTGTCTGCGGGATGGCCTTGGACAAGTCACTTTGGCTTCCAGCACCTGCCCTGATTTCTGTGGCTATAGGATGAAGATGCCAATAACAGCCTCCATTAGAGGAGAGATGGAGCCTCTGGGATCCGGAGATCAAACATGCCCCATGAAAGCTGTGCCTTAATGATATTTATGGTTAACAATAATGAAAAGGGTTACTTAATGGCAATATGGAGTTTATATGACTGGCCTAGAATTTTGTAATTGCTATTTACAGTGCTTGGATGCATGTTCATGATGCGGTGCTGCCTTTTCCACTAAGTGCTCAATGCTGAAGAGAGTTCAGAGGTGGGGGAAGGAGATAAGTAAGTTTTCTTCTGTATGTGGACTTGCTTAGTCATGGGCTAGAAGCAAGGTAGAGAGGTAACAAGATCACAAGAGGTCCCAGAGAGGTGCTGCAAGAGGGGCTTCTGGATTCATTTTCTACATCTGTACTTGTTATGATTTTGCACTGCAATAGATTGAAAATGCCCTGCTCAGCTGGGTGAAGAGGTGCAGTGCTTGCTTCAGAATATACGTGCTACCAAGCTGACGTGAATTCAAAGCGCAGGTCCGGACCCCTCACCAGGGCTAACGAGCTTTCCATATGCGGCGCCTTGCGGGATTGGATCCGCAGCAGCCTGTTTCTGGTTTTGCAAGTGGTGCGTTCTGCTGATCAGTCCCTGCAGCATGCATGGTGATAGGTACAATCCTGTTAAAGGTTGTACGAGGAATCTAAGACCAAACTACTGGCTCATCTCTCATGCCCTTGCATTGGTTATACTGGCCTGATGTGGTGCGGGATCTGCCAGCTATCGCACGTGCCCCTGGGGACAGGGGACAGAGGGATGCTGAGCTGAGCCAGCACTGAAGAGCATCACCAGAAGGCTGTTCTCAGCTGCTTGATAGGCTTGTTAATTTGAATGAAGTAAGAAAAAATGTGAATCATAAGGTATGTCCATAAAATAGCAAAATTTGACGTCTGTATACATTTTAAACATTTCTAGGGTACTGTAAGAGAAAAGCATGTGGAGCTGATAAGGAAAGCGCATTCGGCATACATTTATGAGTAACCCCAATTGTGTTATGTCTGGTTTCACCCAAGTGATCTATCTGCAAACTGCTAGAGCTTACACCAGTTTTCATCTGACAGATGAACGAGACAGATGCAAATTAATAAATTTTCAGCAAGATGCTAAATGTGGGCTTACTTGTATTGCTGCTCTGGTTAGAACCCTGCTATTTTTGTACCTGTATTGCTGAAGTTCTCATTAGCGTCTGGTCCCCTGTAGGAACTGGTGTTGTGTTTTGGGTTTTTTGTTTTTTTTTTTTGTCTCCAGACTAACAGATGGACTGAAAAATAGGATTGGGCATGATACAACAGTTCAAAGCCTTAGCCCAGCAATCAGCTTTCTGTTGTGGTGCTCTCAGCTCACAGCGCCCATGGGTGCTGATAAAATTCTTTGCTCCGTAGATCGGTATGCGCAGTGTGATTTGCAGGATGAGACCCTCTAGTCCAATTAGCGATCACTGCGTAGATGTAATGCTTTGAAGTACTAGCTGAGCTGAAATCCCTTTGACATCTTTGGGGTTAAGTGCACTCAGTGTTGCTTCAGGTTCTTTAGCGCCTCGTTAGGGGTTGTACTCTTTATATGGTGTCAGCAGGTAACAGAATAAAATAATTATAATTTTTAAGAATTAAGTACTTTATAAAAAAAACCCCAACAACTTAAAAATATTAATTAACTGATTGTATAGTTTTGCTAACATTCTGAATGTGCGTGAGGAAAGACATTAATGTCTTGTCAGTCCCTGAGAGCCAGCCCCAGTGCACCCCAAGAGCTGGGACCTTCTTGTAGAGGAACGAAAGGTGCCGAAAAGGTGATTGCTGCCCTTGGATGTGTTTAATGCAGCCTCCTGAAGTCAGGGAGGTCCTTCCCTGGGGACTGAATGGCCTTTTAAACTCTGGCATGGCCCGTTTTTCCAGGATTTCTGCCTTGGTTCCTAGAGGCATTTTTATTGTGCAGCTGGCAGCCAGCCCAGCATGGAGGGTGGGGAAAAACAAACCAAACCCCATCATTTCTCAGGCAGCAGGGCTATGATCTCTGTCGAGTCAGGGCTGCAGGTACATACACATTTGTTGTCTGTGGGAAGAAGGAAACAAAGTGTCCTCTACAAGTAATGGGAATATGTGGTCTGCCTTCCAAGATCCTGGTTTTTGCCACACAGACGCAGCACTGAACTGGGAGCAGGGTCTCCTTTCTTTCCTCACTCACTTATTCTTTGACTGTTACTTGACTTTTCAAGGTCAGAAAGAAGTTTTTTAAGCTCTTTGGGTTCATATGTGCTACTTTACCCATCAAACAGATGAGTAGGTGGCCCTGCTGTTATTTGGTTTATGGAGACCACCCTGAGGGACTGTTTCAGCAGAACTACATATTTCTGCTCTCAGCGAGCCACTAGACATTGCTAGCATCTAGTATTGAAAGGTATTTAAGCCATAACAATAGCACTGACTGTGCCCAGTCATGGGTGTCAGGCTGTCACACGTGTCCTGTCCAGTTGTCACATGCAAAGCCCAGGAAATTGTATGTGACGCTCCTCCCCCTCAAACCTTCTTTTTTTAAAAATAACTACGGAAGTTGTTGAGTGAACCGCTGTGTGACAGAAATGAAAAGTCGGTGTTTGTATATTCTTTTAAATTTTACTTCTCTCTATTATTGTAATCTTTGCTCCTTGTCACACCAGTCCTGGCAACTGGTCTTCATTCGCTCCACCGAAATTGGCTGTAAAGGCTCGAGTTGATTGAAAGCTGTATCGACCTTTTGCCTCTCTACCTCATTTCTTCGTTAGTGAAGAACATGCAGCTGAGAAAGACAGAAATTAATGATAATGAAGTGATGTGAATTAATGATGAAATGAAAAATTGAATGGAGTATTTGGGATGCAGGCAACTACTTGGTGTGCTGGTTTTCAGACAGTGCTGCGATTCAACACCATCAGAAATTGTCTTTCTGTATATTTTCCAAAGCAGGATATAAAAAGGCTTGGCATGCATTCATGCTTTAGCTATCATAAACCAAGCAGGTACATAAATAGAAATACTTTTTTTTTTAATTACCTAAAAGGGAATTAGTGGGTTTTGACTTCCTGAAGATTATGCCACAGATGAGTTACACAGAGAATAGATCCCAGGCTCAGTTTTTAATGTTAACTCAGTACCCTCTTTTCCTTACAAAGATGTAAAATTTAAATTCCTATTTCCCCAGTGTATTTCAAATTTCACTCAGTGACTTAGCTCATAATCCTATGTGAATGAGGATGCCCAGCTGGACTCTATAAGCTTTATATCCTGAAGTGTTCAAAGAAATTCTGCATTTCACATGTGTGAGTTTGGGAAAGAAAGATGGGACCTCACTTCTGTTGTGAAATTGTGAGAAGACGCAGTGTGCAATCAGTGTGAAATCACCTCTGGCTCTCTCTTGTTTTGTTACCCTTTGATATGGAAAGAATTGATGCGCGTCTTAATAGATGGGATTTCAGGTAGTAATGTTTGTTCTTCATTCCTTCTGCCACGGTTAGAATCCAGTTACGGGACTGTTCTCAGCTGGTGCGGACCATAAGGACGCTTGGGTACGGGACAACATCTACAGCATCCTGGCCGTATGGGGGCTGGGGATGGCTTATCGGAAGAATGCAGACCGGGACGAGGATAAAGCCAAAGCCTACGAGCTTGAGCAGGTATGTCAAATTTCAGCATAAACCAGTTATGCTGTTTGGTTTTTTTTTCATATGGTAGTGGTTTTGAATGGTGCATTCACATTACTGCTGTGTCTAGGATCTGGCAGGGTTTTCCCATCTTGGAGTACGTGTCTTGTTCCTATGACAGCAGCATCCGCGCAGCGTGTGGTGTGCAGTGTTCCTGGCAGCTTTCCAGCAAGCAGGATTTGGAGAACTGTGTGGCAGAGAGGCTGACATCTGAATTAAAATATAACTTCCATCGATTGGCCGATTGTTGAAGATTAGGCTTCTGAGAGATTTTTATGCCCAGATTTAAAAGCCTCTGATTAAACCTTGAGATCCCTCATGAGGTGTATTATGGAGCAGAAAATCAAGCCTAGGTCGCATGGATCCTAGGGTAGCAATTTATCTGCTGGGCCAACCTTCCCTGTAAGGAGAAGCACGCCATTTAAAGTAGCAGTCTTTGAAATGTGCACCTGTGTCATCGCACGGAAGTCGTACAAGGTCTATAGACGTATTTGATCAAACCAGACAAGGCAGTGATCTCCAAACTGGCAAGACTTATGCACTGGAGAATTGGAAGGGGAGGTAACTTGCACAGTTAATCTCTGTAATCTGCAGCAGAAGCGAGAGTGTAGAGGGGGGTTAAATGGGAAGTGAGGGAGTGTTAGTGTCAGCGTCCTGCTGTTGTTTCGAAGGCACTGGGTAAATTTTATGCTGACATGTACTGCGCAAACCAGGGAGATCTTGGTGACAGAATAACCTCGACTCGGTTTACATGACCGTATTGGGAGTCTATAATAATTTTTTGATAAAAAGATGGGGTTAATTTCTAAATTTAAGACAAAATCTTGCGCTTCTCTTCATACACACTAAAGGCCCTTTCTTTACATTAGTCATCTGCTTTCTGTTGTCCTGTATAAAGAGGGGAAGAAGCTTCACAGGTTTTCCAGTCACGTCACTGTCTTGCAGTCATCTACCAGTGTTCCCTGGATCTGTCATTCTAAAAGTCATCATCATCATTATTATTAGTCTTACAAGACTTAACATTCCTGTTTTGTTCTCCTAGATAGGGAAGTGGGAATAAAAATTAACCAGTATATTAAAAAAGGCATGTCAAGCATTACAGGCGTTCCTGTTACTTCCTGAGCTGGATAGAAGGATCACAGGGAGTTGTTCCACTTTTTAGAGAGGGCCTTGGGGAAAAGATTTGTTCTCCTAGATAGGGAAGCGGGAATAAAAATTAACCGGTATATTAAAAAAGGCATGTCAAGCATTACAGGCAAATATGTGTTTTTCACCTTTGGCACGATGTTAGCAAGGGGTGTGAACTTTGTTGCTTTTTGAATGTTTTTTGTAACATCTGATGAGGCTGGCCCTGTGAGGGTGTCACTGGTCTGTTTTGTTCCTGCAGAACGTTGTGAAGTTGATGCGGGGACTCTTACAGTGCATGATGAGACAGGTAATGTCATAGGTATGAGTGGAACAAGTACATGTTGCATTTACGAAGCTTTTAATCAGAGGCATGTATTCTTTATCTCTTCTGCAGAGCGATTTTTCTTTTTTAATTTTTTTTTTTTTTGCATGTGTGTAGACAGTGCTGTGGGGAGTCTTTTTAAAACTTCAGTTTCCTCGAGCAAAAATCTGATCTTGTACCTTTTTGAGGTTGTGCAAATCACAGTTTTGCCTTTGCAGACTGATTTTCACCAAGATGCATACCTGTAACTAAGTTCTGAACTCAACAAAGTAGTTTCATTTCATTCTTTCCCAGAGATGTGGATTTAGCTGGAGCCTGAAGTTAGAGATGTGTTTAAGCACTCTGATCAGTCATAACACACTGAAGTGAGGTAACAAAAATTAGGACCTCAAGTTTCTCCTCACCTAAGATAAGGTGTTAATTTTGAAATAGTTTGGAGAATTTCTTCCAAAATGTTTCATATTTGAAAGTTGTGGTGTTTTTTAGGTAGATAAGGTGGAGAAGTTCAAACGCACGCAGAGTACCAAAGACTGCCTACATGCCAAGTATAACTCTGCTACTTGTGCCACGGTGGTTGGGGATGACCAGTGGGGGCATTTGCAAGTGGATGCAACTTCCCTTTACTTGCTCTTCTTGGCACAGATGACTGCATCAGGTAAGCAGAAGATACTTTAGCCCTGACTATTGTTGCAGTCTTTTTCTATTCTAGCTTTTATTTAAAAGGGGAAAAAAAAGTTGTAACTAGCTTCAAAGACCTTTACGTAGTTATTACTCAGAAGAAAGTAATACTTCTCTGGAAAAGAGATGTAGCTTAGTTAGGATTTCATGTTTACAGTAACTGCCCAGGCAGCGTCCATTATCTTAATGTTTGTTGGTATACAAATACATGAGATATTCAGAGTCATGTCAGAGAAGAGTTTTGAGTTTGAAGACTATGTAGGGCATCCTAATGGGCAACCAGGTTTCTTCAGAGGGTGGCAACATCGAGTCAGGTGCCACTAGTCCTGTCTGTGTTCCTCTTCTTGCTGGCGCTGTTTTATCTTGTGCTCTTCTCAACTGTACTCCTCCTGTGAGGGTAAGGATTTGTCTCCTTACATGTTTTTCTGTCCTCAGAGCCCCGTGCAACTGATCCGTGCAGAGCGGGTGCCTGGTCGTCCTGGTGGTCCCCCGATGCAGCACTAAGTGGGTGGAGGGATAGGGAGCTGTGAGAATTGGGATGCACTGCTCTTGAGAGCCAGAGCGGGCTTAGCTGTCTCTGCTTTGAACCCACCGAGTCTGAATGCTTCCATCCCAAGGGTGGTTTTCGGGTGGTCTTTGAAACAGTCTGTATTGGCAGCATTTGAAGTATTTTATCAGCAGCAAGTATTGAGGCTTGCTGTCTGATCTTTTGAAATCAGCATGGGTTTTTCAACTGATTTCAGTGAGCAGTGGTTGGTAGCAAATAAACAAAAGCATGGAACTCACTGAAGAGTAAATAGTTCTGATACAGTATAATTATTCTCTTCCCTTCTTTTAATCAGGGTTACGTATCATCTTCACCCTTGATGAAGTTACCTTTATTCAGAATCTTGTTTTTTACATAGAAGCTGCCTACAAAGTTGCTGTAAGTAGTTATTTATATGTAAATCACCTGAACTCTGCTCAGATATGGGTGGAAAACTGTTTATTGATGGAGAAGGAAAATACGGACTTCTTTTTCCATGAGAAGATCTCAGACCTTGTCAGTACTTTACATTGTGAGCAGCATCTTTGGAGGTGGTGGGAGGGCTGTGGAGGATTTACTGCTGTCTGGGTGAGGTATACTTGCTCTATCATAATAATAGTTTTTCTTTATTGTTAATAATATTTCCTGATGTGTCATTAAAATCTTACGGGCTTTTCTAAAAAGAGCAAAGTGTTAACAAACTTTTTGGAAAGTGTCGAGTTGAAGGGGCACAGGGAGAAGCATGCGCAAGGGGAAGGATAAAGCACTTTGTGTGTTCTGTGAAGGCAATGATTCATGACTGTAGACCTGATACTGCTGGAGTATTTTTATGTGCTGCTTTTTAAACGTGAGGATGGGCTCTTTGGAGACTTGAAGCCTTTTTTTTTTTCCTTTTAAGGCATTTTATGCAGGGGTCTGGTTTTGTTGTGGGGCGAGAGGGGAAAACATTGGTTTTGTATATAATCATGCCATTTTTTTTCTTGCTTATGTTGTTGCAGGATTATGGAATTTGGGAACGTGGTGATAAGACAAACCAGGGCATCCCTGAACTGAATGCGAGCTCCGTAGGGATGGCCAAAGTGAGAATGTCTTCCTGACACCTCCTTCATGGCTGTTCTGTCATGCTGAAGGGCTCTGACAAACCTGATGGCTTCCTTTGCATAGTCTTCTTGGCCACTGTGATAGTTAACTGATTGTATAAGAATTTTTGTTTGAGTGTGAGTGAGTATTTTTCAGTGTAAAATCCTTGTGATAATGGCTTTCATTGAAGGACCTCATCACAGTTGTTCTGGGGATTGCAAGAAGGGTACCAGCTTTCTTGAGGCATGAATCTGATAGATTCAGTGAGGTGCAGTCTCACGAAGTGGGCTCCGGTTTTCTGTCCCTCTTTCTTAATTCTCCAGCCACAGTATTATATGTGATGTTTTCATGGTAAGATTAAGTCAGGAGTAAGTACTGGAAAACAGCAGGATGTCAGTCCAAGAAATCATTCACAAGTAATTTAGAGAGAAAAATGAGTAAAGATGTACTTAAAAGAAAGTGGATGTTTCTGGTTCCTCCATAGCACAAGGTCATGGAGATACTAAATGAAGCTCAGCCAGCCCTAAATGTGAATGTGTAATTGACAGCTGCCTTTTTACAGGGTGTCTGGGGGACTGACAGAAGCCACTTTT